TATACTAAAATTTTTGCCATTAAGTGGACATGCTTAATGACAACACGAAATCAAAAACCCATTTTTCTAAGTCATAGACATGCAAAACGTACTAAACAAATGATCTCAGAAACATTGTAAAGGAAACTTTCGATCGCTCTCAAATAATCAATTCTGGATGTGTCTTTGCATTCTGCAGATAATGAAACTGAATCCTAAGTAAGGCCTTTACTCTTGTCTTTGGTGAAACAAAAACATCTGCGCAATTAGCGTATCAGTCGATGTCAACGCTTTTATCCCATTCCTTGTTGCTAAGGCAGTAACTTGACCCTTGAAGGAGAGACGCAGTGCCATGGTCTGATGTGCCGCCACAAACGCATGACTGTAATAACCTATACTTCTAGTCATATTATATATTAATATACAGAAATCAGGAAAATAATGTATACGGGCAACCGGTTAGTGAATAGCAGTTTCACCTGCATGTTGTCATCCATCTGCGAAATCGAACAGATTAAAATCAGACGGTGCTGTCTCCTAAAAGTTAATATCCTCGACGTATTGCAAGAGTTCTTTCGTACGCTTTAGTACGTCATACTGGATTAGAACAGTTTATTGACGCAACGCAAAATAAGCGATTATCAGTAGGTACAATTGAGATTGACATTTGGATCTGTCCTTCAAACATTCTTTGTCGTCATACTTCTATCGCAATTACGTACTGTTCATGAACCGACAAAAAGGTTGACCCACTGACACCTCACTATATTTAATCTGTCACTAATATTACAGTTGGCTTTTGTCAACTTACCACTATAGTCATTTTTGCTAAAATGTGCAGCACAGCTTTCCTTTGTAATTGCTAATCGATATTTTCTAGCCTAATTTTCTAAGCTTTATCCGTATCCTTTGTAAATTGTATTTTTCGTGCCCTGTAACGCGTCATCTAATCCCTCTAGCATTCGAGCCATATTCTTCACTCGTTCTTATTGCATTTTAGACACTGATCTCTCCCCCCGTCCTCAATAATCAGCTATATCCATCCATGATGCACCACATGTTTCTACTTCCCATGTCTTTTGGTATACCAC